TGGTCAATGATTGTGGAGGCGACATGCACGCACTCAGAGGCCATGCCGGTGTCAGACAAGCAGCAGGTGGCGCGAGCCACCGAGACCACTGTGCAGGTGCAAGTTCAGGGAGAGGCGGTGGAGGGGGAAGAGCAGCAAAGGACTGATGCAGAAGCAGAAGCTGAAGCGAAAGCAGATGGAGAAGCAGGGGAAGAAGCAGAAGCAGAAGCAGCAGCAAAAGCAGCATCCGCAGCAGCAGCAGCAGAATCTGAAGCTGGATCTGGAGCTGAAGCAGAGGCCACAGCTGAAGCAGAAGCTGAAACGGGAGTTGAAACTGGAACTGCCTGAAGCTGAAACGGAAGCTGAAACTGGAACTGAAAGTGAAGCTGAAGCTGAAACGGAAGTTGAAACTGGAACAGGAGCTGAAGCTGAAGTGGAAGCTGCGCAGGAGAAGCAGCATCAGCAGCAGGGGAAGCAGACGCAACAGCTTCAGCCGCAGCAGCAGGAGAAGCAAGCACTGGCAGCCGCAGGAGGAATGGAAAACCGTGGCTCGAGTCTGGCTGTGGCAACTCCTGCTGCCGCCACAGCAGCATCCCCTGCAACGGGTGCAGCCCCCAAGACACCATCCGTGAACCAATGAACGTAGCTTACACACCTGGAACGCCAGCAACACCATCTGCTGTGGCTGCTGTGCCCCCCGCGTGGCGCCTGGACGACCAGCAGACGACTGCCACGGGAGGTCAGAGAGGAGAGGGGCCAGAGGTGGCTGCACGGGCTGGCCCTGCTGGTGGCGCTCGGGGGGTGAAGCGCCCTGCTGCCATGATGACCCAGGGAGGGGGGGGGGGGTGCTGGAGGCATGGAGAGTGTGGGTGTGGGTGTCCCTGCTGTTGCAGGGGGAGGGTTCAGTATGGGGCGAGGAGAGTGGGTTTCAGCGGTGGATGAACGTGTAGTGGATATAATGGGGCGGCATGCCATGCAGGCTTGCTTGGACGAGCGAAGGAGGGCTGCCGAGGAGAAGAGGAGGGTGGTGAGGCGGATGCGGCTGCAGGAGGAGGAGAGGATGAGGCGACTGGAGGACGAGAGGGATGCACACATAAGGGACACCGTCGAGGAATTGCGCCAGATGGTATGGTGGACTGTGATTTCCAGTAGTTTTCTGGTTGCCTCCCCTCCCCGCCTTGCCCCCCTCCCATCTCCGCTCCGTTTCACCATTGTCCTGTCTCTGCTCTGTTTCGGTCCCCCTCCTGCCTTTGCTCCTGTTACCACCGTCTTACACCTGTTGCTTTTGCTTGTCCTATCCGCCTCGTCAAAGGCTGTTAAGGAGGGGCAGCGAGGAGAGGGTGGAGACACCCACGCTTGATCCAGCAATCACGAGAGTGGCTGGTTGCGAGGGCGGAGAGGAGAATCTTCTCCCTGAAAAGGGAGCCAAGAAGGCTAGGGTCGTCTCTCAGGGAGAAGAACGAGGCAACGCATGTGGACAGCTGGGATTGCAAGGGCAGAGAGTGTTGCAAGGATAGTGAGAGCCATATTGGACCGTAATTGGACAGAGGAGCTCATTTCCCTTCTCCCCTCTACCCATGATTCTGCCTTCTCCCCTCTACCATCCATTTATCTTTATTCTCTCCTCTTCCCTCTACTCCTCCTCTCCTCTCCGTTGTACCTTTCATTCTCTCTCCTCCCCTCCACCCTTCGGTCACTCTGCTCCAAGTTACCCTTCATTCTCTCTCATCCCTTCTACCCTGTCTCCTCTCCTCCGCCCCCCCTTCATTCTCTCCTCTTCCACCCCCTTCATTTTCTCCTCTCCCCTCTACCCTTCGTTCCCTCCTACCCTCAGCCCTCCGTTCTCCCTTGGACGTAGCATGCAGAATGCCAAGGCGGAGAGCCTAGAGACGGCAGCCAAGGAGGTGATTTTATAGGCACCCCAAGAATAGACCCGTCATTATCCCTTGCACCGTTCATGCAGGATGCAAAGGCAGAGAGTCTAGAGCGGGCAGCCAAGGAGGTGCGGCAGGTGACACAGTGAGCACGAGAGGATAAGGTAGCAAAGGAGGCGGAAATCAGGGAGCGATACCAGGCATGTTGGACGGCGCATGTGTATGGGGGTGGGGGAGGGGAAGGGTCGAGTCAGTGTGTGGTGGGAGGAGGAGGGGAGGGGGAGGTGGGGGGGGAGGTGGTTGGGTGTGTGTCATATCTCTCTCCATGTTCCTCTGTTTGTCAGCCGTTGTTGCCGTATCTCTCCCCCCCTAACGCTACCCTGCCCCTCCCCCTGCTATTTCTCTCCTCCTGCCTCCCCCCCCTTTTTCTCTCACCCCCTGCCCCTCCCCCCTCTCTTCACTCAACTCCTGTCCCTCTCCCCTCTCTTCACTCAACTCCTGCCCCCCCCCCCCCCTCCCTCTCGTCACTCAACTACCGGCCCCTCCCCAAAGCCCAGTCCATCTCTTATAGACACGAATCGTTATTTATTTTTTTGCTCATCCACACCCTTGCATGGAGCTTTCTATTTTTGCCTTCTGCTAATACCTCTACCGTGCATGCACTCCTCTCTGGCGCTCCTGGTGTTCCACTTTTGCCACCCTCTTTCATCTACTACTGGCAGATGACACTTGCAGGGTACTAAGCGTGTTCAGCATTTCCATTATGCTCTTGTGTCTCTCGCCTCCCCTCCACTTTCCATCTTCCCTGTACCATGGAAATTTGTCGTGTCCGGTGGTTACCTCTCACCTCTCACAGGCCCTCTTGACAAATAACAAGGGAAGAGAAGAACTGGCGAAGGCACAACGTGAGAGGGAAGCTCAACATGCGGAGGTGCAAGAGCTTGAAGCAAACCATTCAGCTTTGGTTGAAGATCCCAAGACAAACTGGGGCAATGTGATGAGCCTGTTGTTTCGCTGTGATGCGTGAGGCTGCTGCTGAGGTACTATGTAATCCATGGCCTGAATTACAAGCCTCGGTTGTGGGTAGTAACTCAGCTCTCGGCACTTCAGTGGTGAGCTAAGTAGTTTGAACCCTATGGTATGCCTGCACTCCAAACTTCTTCTGCAGCACCCCCACCTCTCGAACGGCGATCCAACACTCAACAGTTGGCCTTGTGACAAGGCAAAAGCTTCTGGTTTGTTTCCACCTCCCTGCACCAGATGGCCACGGGCCCGATCCTAAACCTCAGGCAGACCAGACTTGAAGAAGGGCGAATGAGTGTGCGGGTCAGTAAACTGTACCATGGGGGGAAGACAGAGCCAGCATGCCTTGCGTCCTCTCCTGGTGCAGCATGGCAGCGAACATCGTGAATGGTGCGAATCGCGAAATACCATCCATTCCATAGGTGTCAGTGGAAGATCAGCATGCACTTTCTCTGTATTTCTAATTCGATTTGCAACCTTTCAGATGTAAGAAGAACCAGGCCCTTTGGATCGCCGCCTTGAACACATTAGAATCAATTTGTATGGATCCACGCAAAAAATTGAAACATTCTTCAAGAAACGCTTCATGCAGCCCGTATGTCCTCAATATAGAAATGAGCCATGGCAGGGTGCTGACAGAAGTATTGACTCGACACACCCAGCCGTCCCAACCTCAGCTTCGCAGGGATGGGCAGTCGGCTGTTTGCGGAGAGACTTGGACGAAAGTGTTGGCGGTTTGCCCATTTGTTGGGAAGATAGCGCAATGTGGGGTTGACATGAGGCATGGAGGAGCCGAGGAATCTGCACCTCCAGAGCCGGTTCCTGCTGTCGCCGCTCACTCATCCGCCTCTGGTGTTCCGTTCGAGATAAATCACGGAAAGGGAATGTAGCGACTCGCCTGTCAGGTATTCCTCTCATTTTCATTCCTCTTGGTCTCGTTTCAGAACAAAGAGACTAGTCTCGGACCCAAAACCAACTCCAGCTCCTCTTCGGTACTGGTTTAGGAGGGAGCGAGCTCTTTCGCCATCAAGACGAGCGGGCTTCTAAGCCACCATCGTTCGGCTCTCGCGAAGTAAAGTGCGAACCTTCGCTGACGCATTGCGTGAATAACCCGAACAGTGGAAATGGTTCTCCAATTCATCGCCGCCGCTCAGACCGCCTCTCTGACTGACACTCCCCGCGTGCTCTCCCAGCCCGGCATGGCAGCGAACGTCACGAATGTCGCGAATCTCGCAAACGGTGCGATCACAACTACACCAGACGCATCGCGCGAATCGAAGCGACGGCTCATCGTCGGCGGTCGCGACGGTACGAGCAAGACCACTACGCGGCGATTGCCGAGGCTACTGTGGAGCCGAAACGGGGAGGAGCGGGTTTACGACGCTTCGAGGGCGTCTGCTGCGACGGAGAGAAGAGAAGGCGCCGGGGGTACCAGCAGTGCGAGAGGGGCGACGGGGAGGCCGGCGGTGAGAGGAATCACGTTTCTCGACGGGCTCAAGCTCGCCTACTCGGGCACGTACGGCTTCTGATGCTGCGATAGAAGCAACGCGCTACTGTGCGCTTGTGCTGGTTGTGAATCCGTAGTAAAATAAATTGCTGTGTGAATGTCTGGAAACACTCGAACCGTCCACAGAGATAAGAACGCATGACATGCCAAGAAAAAGCGCATGACGTGCCAAGAAAAAGCGCATGACGTGCCAAGAAAGAGCGCATGACGTGCCAAGAAGGAGCGCATGACGTGCCAAGAAAGAGCGCATGACGTGCCAAGAAAGAGCGCATGACGTGCCAAGAAAGAGCGCATGACGTGCCAAGAAAGAGCGCATGACGTGCCAAGAAAGAGCGCATGACGTGCCAAGAAAGAGCGCATGACGTGCCAAGAAAGAGAGCATGACATGCCAAGAAAGAGCGCACACACAACCGCACCAAAATCGGACGCGGGGTGGGTCACGCTAGTGCGGCATTAGAGTGTGCTGCCCCGTTGCGCGACCTGCGCCGTCGCATGTGCCGCGATTCGCGGTGGCGGGAGGAGGATTCGTGCGGAGAGGATTGGGGCATGCAGAATAGTGGGGAGGGCAAGGTGGGAGGTATTTTGACAAGGTTGACTGGTTGTGGGAGGGGACGAAGGGATTGGAAATATTCGTATGCATCATCGAAACAACATACTACTGTACGCCTTATCGAAGCTGTGCAATAAAGAGGTGATTTCCCTCCACACACCCCCTAAAGCCCTGGCCTCATTCGTGCGAAGGGAGACCATTCGTGAAATCAGCTCGCCGTACTTTCCGCCGCTCCTCGCGGCTAGCAGGCCGGCCAATAGCATCATGACATCTGCCGGTTTATTCCAGTCGTGCTCTTCCCTTCGCACGCCCCTTCTTCAAAGCACCGCACAGAAATCTCTCTCTACTGGACCGACGTTAGTTCCTTGGGAATCCGTCACAAATCGGCTAGAGCGTGAATTAATTAGCGACGGAGCGGCTCGCGCAATAAATAATCCACCTTCCAAATTATCTCTCCAATCGCGCTCGTCCGTGCGATGCGCTGCCGGCGAGGGCGGCGAGAAGCCGAGCTCGTTCGCGAAGCAGTGGAGCCGCGCAGGCGGTAGCAGCAGCACGGAGAGCACGACTGGTGCTGTGAGACGGATCGCTGAGAAGGGCGGGAGGAGGGAGAGCGCGGGGAAGGGCGACAGCAGGCCCTTCGGGGGAAAGGATAGGCGAGGCAACGGTAAGCCAGCGCGCGGGGGGGCAAGCGGAGAAGCCCAGCGGGCGGAGAACGTGGATGGCGCGGGAGCGGATGGGGAGGCGCGCGAGGGCGGCGGAAGCGGTAGGCGCGAGCGGCAGAAGCGGAGCCACGTGGTGCAGGAGCCCGCGGAGTTCCCCGAGCCCATGAGCCGCGACCCGCACGTGGCGATCCTGGGCGGCGGCATGGCGGGGCTGATGTGCGCGCTGGGGCTGGCGGAGCGGGGGATCCGCAGCACGGTGTTTGATACGGTGCGGAGGGGTTTAGTAGGGTTTTCACCTATGGACTGCAACGTAGAAGTTTGGTACATCTGGGTCTTATTTGTGGGAAAGATCTGAAGTTCGGCGGGATTTATCGGGATTCGTCAGAGTGTAACAGGGTTTGGAAGGGTTTATTTAACCAGGGTTGCCAGGGTTAAGGGTCGATGTGTTGAGCAGTTGATGCTGACGGCTGGTGACAGGGTTGCGTTATCAATCGGAGTCACTCTGTTCCGTTCACTCCCTCACTCATGCATGTCACTTCGCCCTTCTGCCCCCCCTCTCCCCCTCCCCACTTCTCTGCTCTCCTCTGCTCCTATCGCCCCACTTCCCCACTCTTTTCCACTGCTTGCTTTTCCCTTCACCCCTCTCACTTCCCCCCTCTTATTCTCCCCCTCTCCCCCTTCCACCTCCCCTCTCTCCCTCTTCCACCCCCCCTCTCCCCCTCCCCCTCCTTCCGCTTCCTGGCTTCCCCCTCTCCCCACTACAATCCTCCCTTCCCCCTCTCCCCACTACAATCCTCCCTTCCCCCTCTCCCCACTACAATCCTCCCTTCCCCCTCTCCCCACTACAATCCTCCCTTCCCCCTCTCCCCACTACAATCCTCCCTTCCCCCTCTCCCCACTACAATCCTCCCTCCCCCCTCTCCCTTTCCTCGGCCCACCTCCTCCCCACCTGCAGGGCAAGCACGGGTTGGGCGGGCGGATGGCGACTCGGGAGGTGGAAGTTGCCGGGAAGCAGCACCTGTTTGACCATGCGGCTCAATTCTTCACAGCCACAGATGCCCGCTTCCAATCACACGTTGACAGGTGGGCTTCCAATCACACCTTGACAGCTAAGCAGTTTCCAATCACACATTGACAGCTAAGCAGTTCCAATCACACGTTGACAGCTGGGCAGCTGCGTCCACAGTGGGCTCCTCTAATCACATGTGGGCAGATGGGCTGCGTGCAATCACTGAATGGTGCCATGAGACTACGAGACGATTCATCTGGAGCTTTGTGTTGCATTGCATCATCTGCTGCTGTGCTCATGTTGCTCTGACCCCATTGTTTCTTGCATGAGATGTACCGCGCTCACCGCACTCCACCGCACCATATACCACCAGGTGGCTCAAAGAGGGAGCTCTGCGTGTGTGGGACGAGGGGCACCTTGGCACGCTCCGGGCAGGAGGGGAATTTTCAGAGCTGCCCGGCAGTGAGGGTGGGGTGCGGAGATTCGTGAGCCCGAATGGCATGAGAGGATTGTGCGAGCACATCATGGCGGATAAGGTGTGTGCGACCTGACCACATGATTTGATTGAAGCACAGCCACTAGCAGGAGCCGGGAGGATGAAGGGCGAGGTTGGGGGAGCTGGACGGACGGGGGGAAGAGAAGGATGCTGGACTTGAGTAACAGGATACTCTGTCTCTGTCTCTGTGTCTTACAGATGGGGTAGTGTTAGCAGCAGTAGGAGGCAGTGGATGCAGTCATGTGTCTTGTTCTGTATTAAGTGGTGGGTTTAGAGTGGCCAGAGTGGATAGGCAGATAATTTTCCAACTGAAGCCCTATTTCCCCCAGTTACCCGTCCTGTTTCCTCCATTCGCTCGCAATCCTTCCCCCTTGCCTTTCCTCGTCCACTCCATTCCGCCTTTCATCGCCCACTCCTCTCCCAGAGTGCACGTTAGGCAGGGCGTGGTGGTGGTGGAGCGGCCGGTGTGGATAGGCATACGAGTCTCGAAGTGCCCCTTCAGCCGTCCCCCTTCCGCTGTATCTCCTTCTCCCCGTTTCTCACCGTCCTCGTCACATCACATGCACAGGTGACGAGGGCGTGGTGGCGGTGGAGTGGCCGGTGTGGATCGGCAGTGAGGCCTCATTCCACTTATCGTTCCTGTCCCTCTATTGCTGTCCCCATCAACCGCTCCCCATCAACCGCTCCCCATCAACCCCTCCCCATCAACCCCTCCCGAAAGCGCAGGTGAGGCAGGGCGTGGTGGCGGTGGAGCGGCCGGTGTGGATCGGCAAGATGCGGGCGAGGGGGGCAAGTGGGTGCTGGAGGAGACTGGAAAGAAGGCCGGGGAGTTCGACTTTGTGGTCATCGCACACAACGGTGGGTGTGTGTGTGGTTTATGCGTGCATGCTATGCCGTGCACAGTGGGTGCTGGAGGAGAGTGGAAGGGAGGCAGGAGAGTTTGGCATTGTTGTTTTTGGGTGGGTGGGTGTGTTGATGCATGCATGTTATAATGCGCCAGTACATGCTGTCATGTGTGTTTGTGCACAGGAAGATGTTACCATGTTACCATGTTACTGGCAGGCAGTGCCAAATGGTTTTAATAGAAGAAAGCGGCTACAGTTAACGACGCTCTGGATAGCCCTTCTAACCACTCTGGACCGCGCTTCACATCTCCCCACCCCATCGTTGCTGGCTTTCCCTTCTCTGCCCTTCCCCCACTGCCCTTGCCTCGCTGCTGCTCCTTCCAGGAAAGTGCGCCAACCGCCTTCTCTCCCCTGCTGGCATACCAAAGATTGCCAGACAGATGAAGGTGAGGCGAGGGGGGGAGGGGGAGGAGAGGGAAGGGGAAGGGGAGGGAAGGGGGGAGGGGAAGAATGGCGAGGATGGAGGGGAGGGGGTATTATTAGCATCTGCTAATGAAAGGGGTGTTGGTTTCATGGCGGATGCTCGGGTGATGCTGCAAGAGCGGTGGCTTGGCTTGGTAGATAAACCACGGTCCACAGGTGTTATGTTAGCACATCAGTAAGAAGCATCGTTGCATCGCCCAACACAAGGAAGCCTGCACCTCCCTCCTTTTCTCCCTCCCATCGCCTGCCACCTATAGTCTCCTTGTCCAGACATCGCTAACCCCACTACACATCCCTTCAGCTGCTCTTGTTTCCCCACATCCTTCTCCCCACATCCTTCTCCCCACATCCTTCTCCCCACATCCTTCTCCCCACATCCTTCTCCGCACATCCTTCTCTCCACATCCTTCTCCCCACATCCTTCTCCCCACATCCTTCTCCCCACATCCTTCTCCCCACATCCTTCTCCCCACATCCTTCTCCCCACATCCTTCTCCCCACATCCTTCTCCCCACATCCTTCTCGCCGCACCCTTCTCCCCACACCCTTTCTCCCCACACCCTTTCTCCCCACACCCTTTTCCCCACAAGCTTCTCCCCACACCCTTCTCCACACACCCTTCTCCCCACCCCCTTCTCCCCACCCCCTTCTCCCCACCCCCTTCTCCCCACCCCCTTCTCCCCACCCCCTTCTCCCCACCCCCTTCTCCCCACCCCCTTCTCCCCACCCCCTTCTCCCCACACCCTTGTCCCCACCCCTTTCTCCCCACACCCTTCTCCCCACACCCTTCTCCCCACACCCTTCTCCCCACCCCCTTCTCCCCACACCCTTTCTCCCCACACCCTTTCTCCCCACACCCTTTCTCCCCACACCCTTTTCCCCACAAGCTTCTCCCCACACCCTTCTCCACACACCCTTCTCCCCACCCCCTTCTCCCCACCCCCTTCTCCCCACCCCCTTCTCCCCACCCCCTTTTCCCCACCCCCTTCTCCCCACCCCCTTCTCCCCACCCCCTTTCTCCCCACACCCTTCTCCCCACACCCTTCTCCCCACCCCCTTCTCCCCACCCCCTTCTCCCCACCCCCTTCTCCTCGCATCCTCAGCCATCTCATCGAGACTTCTGCCCACGTCTCCCACCCTTCCCTTATCCCCACTACCCCATTAACACGCTCACATCCACCCGCCAGCGCCTTGAGTTGACCTCCATCTGGGCGTCCTTTGTCATCTATGAAAACCCTCTGCTCACTTCTGAGGCACCTCAAACTTCCTCCTGCACCCCACAGCTATTCCCCCCCCCTCCCCACCCCCCTTCCCCACTTCTTGCGAATCCCTTACCCCCCCCTCCCCCCCGCCCCAGATCCATCCGCCAGAGCCTTGAGCTCGGCTCCATCAGGGCGTCCCTGATGGCGTTTTGGAACTCCCTGCTTGCTTCTGACGCACCTTAATGTCTCTCCTGCACCCCTGTGAATCCCCTAAACCCCACCCAACCCCCCCCCCCCCTCTTCTCCCTCCTTTATCTCCCAGCGCCTTGAGCTCAGCTCCATCTGGGCGTCCATCATCGCCTTTGAGACCCCTCTGCTGGCCAATGGCAGCCTGCCACGTCTGCAGTTTGATGCTGCCTTTGTGGAGGGCGTGCCAGCTGTCGCGTGGATGAGCAACAACACGGCCAAGCTGGAGGGAAGAGAGCAGGCAAGGGGGGATGCGGTGGAGTGTTGGACGGTGTTCAGCAGTGCAGCGTACGGCAGGCGCAACAAAGTGCCTCAGGTGGGAATACTTCAGTGGTTGTTTGCCTATTGCTAGTCGGCAGTATATCAGCCATACCCAATTAAAACCCTCGTGGGAAACCCAGCCGTGGTAACATTGCCATTGCCACCTGGCCTCGTTATTATCACTCCATACCCCTTCATTATTGTCCCCCCCCTCCCCCCCCCCCCCCTCTTCCTCCGGCTCAATTATAAACATGCACAGGAGAACATCCCCCTAGCGAGGGCAGCGCGGGTGAAGCAGGAGATGCTGGAGGGCATCGCAGCGGCCCTTGGACGGCCTGAGGAGTCTCTGCCTGCTGTGCTCTTCCACAAGATACAGCTCTGGTGGGTGCTGCGATGTGATGTGATGTGATGTGATGTGATGTGATGTGATGTGATGTGATGTGATGTGATGTGATGTGATGTGATGTGATGACTGACTACGAACGGGGACCGCAGGGGGGAGCGAGGTGTCGTGCATAATGGATGCGGGCATATGAGTTGGGCTGTTCTACGACTGGCTCATTCCATTCCCTCTGTTCCTGCCTTCTGATTTCATGCCCTCCATCCCATGCCGTCCATCCCGTGCCGTCCATCCCATGCCGCCCATCCCATGCCGCCCATCCCATGCCGCCCATCCCGTGCCGTCCATCCCATGCCGTCCATCCCATGCCGTCCATCCCATGCCGTCCATCCCATGCCGTCCATCCCATGCCGTCCATCCCATGCCGTCCATCCCATGCCGTCCATCCCATGCCGCCCATCCCATGCCGTCCATCCCATGACTTCCATCCCATGCCGTCCATCCCATGCCGTCCACCCCATGCCGTCCATCCCATGCCGTCCATCCCATGCCATCCATCCCATGCCGCCCATCCCATGCCGTCCATCCCATGCCGCCCATCCCATGCCGTCCATCCCATGCCGTCCATCCCATGCCGTCCATCCCATGCCGTCCATCCCATGCCGTCCATCCCATGCCGTCCATCCCATGACTTCCATCCCATGCCGTCCATCCCATGCCGTCCATCCCATGCCGTCCATCCCATGCCGTCCATCCCATGCCGTCCATCCCATGCCGTCCATCCCATGCCATCCATCCCATGCCGTCCATCCCATGCCGTCCATCCCATGCCATCCATTCCATGCCGTCCATCCCATGCCGTCCATCCCATGCCTTCCCAGGGGTGCGGCGCTCCCTGTGAACGCACCGAGGACAGCAGCAGGGGGCGAGGTGGAGTGCATAATGGATGCGGTGACCCGAGTGGGGCTGTGCGGCGATTGGCTCATTGCGCCCTCCGTGCAGGCTGCTGCTGTCAGCGGTCTGTCGCTGGCTGATAAGGTATCCTGGATCCCTGGGCTGTCCCTGTGCTGTCCCTGGGCTGTCCCTGTGCTGGATCCCTGTCGTGGTGTCCTGAATCTTGATCCCTGTGCTTTTTAGTCGGCTCAAGATAAGGTACTGCAGGAGTGGAGATCTCTGTGGGACAATTCGAGTGGTCGCTTGTCCATGCAGCCTGCTGCTGTCGGCGGGGTCACACTGCCTGATCAAGTACCGGAAGAGGGGTGGTCTGTATCTGATGCGTTTCCAAACCCGATTTTTGAGGCGCCTCAAAAATCCGCGTGAGTTGAGACGATTTTTGAGGCGCCTAAAAAATCGTCTCAACTCACGCGGATTTTAAATGGGAAATATTTTCATTGCATGGAGGTGTGCACGTAACCTTCAAAAGTTACTTGTGCGAGCCAAGTTACCAAGGCTTATCAACAGTTCGGAAGAAGACCCTCCTGAAGTCTGACACCTGCAACCTCGGGTTTTTACCCACTGCTGTGTTGGCGAATGCCCATTGATAGGCAATCTGGGTAGTTGATAATCTTGAGATTTGTTTTTCGAGGGTGTGGGTTGTTACTTAGCTCATGCCTAGACTCGTGATCTCTTATGTCCAGTAGCACTGATGAAGGCTCGGCGGGTTTGATCCCCGTAAGCCGAAACATGTTTGCGACCTGGTAATTTTGAGTGAAGAGTTTTTACGAAGCAAATCTCTTGCCTAAGATTTTTTTTACTCTCGTTCTTGTTGCTCAAGCGACTGACTTTGCACTGCTGCTCTTCCCAAGACCATGAGTGACGACGACCCGTGGGACTTCGATTGGATTCCATCCGACGAGGAAGAAGCCGGTACAAGTGGTCGCAGCTCGGTTAAGCGCGTTCGTGGGGAGGGAGGATCATCACGCTCCGCAAGACACGCCAGGCGATCTGGAGCTGGGAAGAGAATCCCTCCACTGGCATTGACCTACGAACCCACTCTACTAAGCAAGCAAGCTGAAGCTCATCCCACCGGCCCGTCGACAAGTCGTCCAAGCGTCATGGCGGAAGCTGCCGACACCTCTCCAATCCCTCAACCTTTCAAGGGATGGACGGAGTCGGCTGTCAAAAGCTTTCGCGACGACTTCAAGACTTTGCTGAAGGTGAAAGAGAAGCTCAAGAAGATGAAGGATCTCGATGCTCAAGGTGTTTTGCTTCACAGCACCCGCACCAAGGCTGTCGAGTTCCAAACGAAGCTTCCGTCCGTTAAAGAGAAATCTGCTGCATCCGTTGCCGCGATTCACGAGGCGAACCAGAAACGGCTGCAGGCGGACTTCATCGCCTCAAAGGCACTGGAGGTTGAAGAGCTGCAGACGGCGGCGAATTCGCACGTCACCGCTCTAGCTGCAACGATGGAAGATTATATTCAAAGCATGAGCACTAACCCTGATCAGGTGGTTTCTGATACCGCCAAGGAGAAGTTTCGACTGCTCAAGGGGAGATGCATTGCGAAGGCGAATTCCGACATCGCGGCTGCGAAAGATGACATCGTCATCAAGGAGCTGGATCGACAGCGGAAGGTAGCTGCTGAAGAATTGAAGAAGGCTGCTGCGTCCGAGGAGGTGCACGACATGGAAACCGAGACCGGGATTGAGAAGATTATGGACAAGCACGCGAAGCGGATTGAAGACAAGTTTTGGAGGGAGCTCGCGCCAAAAATTGAATCCAATCTGATGAAGAAGCTGCTGAAAAATCTTTCTCTCGAAGCACAGGACTCCTCCCGGGCCCCGCGCGGTTGACTCGAAGCAGAAGAAATCGTCTGCCGGAACGTCGAAGCCCTTCACCCCTGATCCTCAGGAGCACCTCTCGGCTAATACGGCAGCGGACTCGAAGCCGAAGAAGAAACGCGGGGGTAAGAAGAACAAAAAGAAGAACGGCACCGACAAGGACCAGCAAGCGGGTGGCCAGACATCTGAGAAGGCCAAGGGACCAAAAAACGGCGGAGGCGGCCCCGGAAAAGGGCCGCGCAAGAACTAACCAGTCACGACTTGGCGCTCCGCTGGTTCGGACGGTTGACAGTGCGGCAGCTGTCGACACGGATTCGGAACCAGGGAGTACATAACCTCAGCTCCAAGGTCTTGTCCTCGGGCGAGAAGAAGGGGCTGGGGTTGGGACTGAAGTTCATTCCAACGCCTGCCGTTCCCCTGTCTGGTGCTGTGGAGCTCGACCAGCTCCTACGCCAGATTTCGCTTCGACTTATCTTCAAGGATGACGGCGGTCGGAAGGGGGACTCGCGCTTTCGAGTGCGGAATCCCGACTGGCTTCCTGATCGGATTCAAATTCCGGAGCAGGTCTTCAAGGATTCGTCATTCGACTTGTCCTTCCTGTTGAAGGCAACCCGCCCGATCCGACATCAGAACATCTCGTCCGGTGTTAGACGGGCGATGCGCTCCATCGCTGCGGATCGACACGTGGTAGTGAAACCTGCCGACAAGAACATCGGGATCACTGTCATGGACCGGAGTCACTACGTTCGCCTCTGTCTCGACCATCTTGACGACGCGACGACCTACACTCCAGTTCATCAAGATCCTACCGCCGACGTCGTGCGGAAGCTGCGTGATCTGCAAAGCGTGTGGGGACCTGCTTTTCCCGAGAGCCTGTGGAAATTTTTCTTTGACAAACCGCGCGGTGGATGGCGACCGGCGGCGTTCTACATCCTTCCGAAGCTACACAAGAAGAAACTCGTGGGGCGGCCTATCGCAGCTTCGCATTCATGGGTGACTTCGAATGTTAGCCGTTGGTTGGACGCGGAACTTCGACCACTGGTGCTTCAACAGCCAACCTACCTACGCGACTCCCTCTCATTGCTACTGATGCTGGAAAAGACCACCTTTCCTAAAGGAATACTTCTAGCTACGTACGACGTCAACTCGCTTTATCCCAGCATCCCACTAAGGCGAGCTCTAGCTCATGCCTAGACTCGTGATCTCTTATGTCCAGTAGCACTGATGAAGGCTCGGCGGGTTTGATCCCCGTAAGCCGAAACATGTTTGCGACCTGGTAATTTTGAGTGAAGAGTTTTTACGAAGCAAATCTCTTGCCTAAGATTTTTTTTACTCTCGTTCTTGTTGCTCAAGCGACTGACTTTGCACTGCTGCTCTTCCCAAGACCATGAGTGACGATGATCAAGTACCGGAAGAGGGGTGATCTGTATCTGATGCGTTTCCAAACCCGTAGGATTGATGCATGTGCGCCTGTGTGTGGTGGTTCCATTGCATGTGCGCCTGTGTGTGGTGCTTCCATTGCACGTGCGCCTGTGTGTGGTGGTTCCATTGCATGTGCGCCTGTGTGTGGTGGTTCCATTGCATGTGCGCCTGTGTGTGGTGGTTCCATTGCATGTGCGCCTGTGTGTGGTGGTTCCATTGCATGTGCGCCTGTGTGTGGTGGTTCCATTGCATGTGCGCCTGTGTGTGGTGCTTCCATTGCATGTGCGCCTGTGTGTGGTGGTTCCATTGCATGTGCGCCTGTGTGTGGTGGTTCCATTGCATGTGCGCCTGTGTGTGGTGGTTCCATTGCATGTGCGCCTGTGTGTGGTGGTTCCATTGCATGTGCGCCTGTGTGTGGTGGTTCCATTGCATGTGCGCCTGTGTGTGGTGGTTCCATTGCATGTGCGCCTGTGTGTGGTGGTTCCATTGCATGTGCGCCTGTGTGTGGTGCTTCCATTGCATGTGCGCCTGTGTGTGGTGCTTCCATTGCACGTGCGCCTGTGTGTGGTGCTTCCATTGCATGTGCGCCTGTGTGTGGTGGTTCCATTGCACGTGCGCCTGTGTGTGGTGCTTCCATTGCATGTGCGCCTGTGTGTGGTGCTTCCATTGCACGTGCGCCTGTGTGTGGTGCTTCCATTGCACGTGCGCCTGTGTGTGGTGCTTCCATTGCACGTGCGCCTGTGTGTGGTGCTTCCATTGCATGTGCGCCTGTGTGTGGTGGTTCCATTGCATGTGCGCCTGTGTGTGGTGGTTCCATTGCATGTGCGCCTGTGTGTGGTGGTTCCATTGCATGTGCGCCTGTGTGTGGTGCTTCCATTGCATGTGCGCCTGTGTGTGGTGGTTCCATTGCATGTGCGCCTGTGTGTGGTGGTTCCATTGCATGTGCGCCTGTGTGTGGTGGTTCCATTGCATGTGCGCCTGTGTGTGGTGGTTCCATTGCATGTGCGCCTGTGTGTGGTGGTTCCATTGCATGTGCGCCTGTGTGTGGTGGTTCCATTGCATGTGCGCCTGTGTGTGGTGGTTCCATTGCATGTGCGCCTGTGTGTGGTGCTTCCATTGCATGTGCGCCTGTGTGTGGTGGTTCCATTGCATGTGCGCCTGTGTGTGGTGGTTCCATTGCATGTGCGCCTGTGTGTGGTGGTTCCATTGCATGTGCGCCTGTGTGTGATGGTTCCATTGCATGTGCGCCTATGTGTGGTGCTTCCATTGCATGTGCGCCTGTGTGTGGTGCTTCCATTGCATGTGCGCCTGTGTGTGGTGGTTCCACTGCATGTGCGCCTGTGTGGTGGTTCCATTGCTTTCCGGCGCTGTGTGTGGGCGACAACAAGGTACTGTGGGGTGGCTATTCCTCTCTTGGCCTGTGGGAAGGCATCTCAGAACGAGGTCCCTGTCGCACCTCGAGTGCCACTAGCTAGTGTTTGCAGATTCAGTCTTGTGGGCAGCGCCTTTGTTGTGTCATTTCTTTTGATTGTTGGCCATCTCAGAACCAGTTCTTCCTAGTCAGGTTTCACGGGAAGAGTGCTACGGGTTGACGCTGTAAGTGCAGGCTGATGCCGTCAGCAAGCTCTGTCTCACCACAGTACTCGGGTGATTAAACCCTTTGGGAAACCCTTAGTTTTTGACTGAAATTGTATTTTGAGAAGAGAAGAGGGGAGAAGCGAGGCAAGGAGAGGATGGGAGGGAAGAGAAAGTCCAGTCAACAAGACTGGCTTGTTATCACTCAAGCAGTCTGCTCTGCTGCGTCTACCACAGCTACTGGCTGGGGTGGGGGGAGGCAAGCGGCGGTTCGCAGGAGCTGTGTTGTCGCATATTCTGACCACTATCCCAGTTTGTTTTTCTCCCTAACACTGACAGCTTCACGGCTTTACTCTCTTTACAATCATACCCATCGCAGATCGCTGCGTTTCATGAGGACGCTGCTGCCAGCGACCCGTCAGTCTTCTCAGCGGGCCTTGATGCGTCGTTTGCAGCAGTGGATGACGCTCATGACATCGGGGTGTTCCCAGATGCCCTGCGTGCTGCTGCGCCAGACAGCAAAACACCTGGTGTGACAGCGGACAAGCACATGGTTGCATAGGGTTTATTTTTCTAGTTTTCTTGGTTGTAATGTTAAAGAATTGCTTGCCGCATATATATTTGTGTTAGGTGCATATGAACTTTAGCCTAGCTAGGTGCAGTTTATATAGAAGACAACACCAAGATACAAAACAACTACCGTAAACGCCCGGATGTATGGCCCTAGGGTCTTTTTGTCGAGAGACCTGCTGTGGTGGTTACCCTTGAGACGATCCTCAGGGAAGGGCCACAGGCAGGCCCCCAAATTGTAGACTTTTACTCTGATTCAGACTTTTTTTGGGGATGTAGTGTTAGAATGTCGAGAGAAAAGTGACTAGGGAGGAAGGCTGAGGGTTACAAAGGTGGGCATGTACCCTCTAAGAACTGACCTAACTAAGTCTATAACAAATATGCTGTACCTAGCATAGACAATTATATTTGTTGACACACCCCCTAGCCAAGATAGTGGCAGTTCCTAACAAGAAAAGTACACCAGGGCAGCACTACTAGTCCGACCTCTGATGAGTGTAATAAGAAAACTCAGGGCAGTACTACTAGTCTGACCATTGAGACAAGAGGCCACAAGGCCAGTCAGCAAGACAAGCAGGGAAAACACAACAAGTACAGGCAGGTATAGTATGACTCAGGATACAAGGAGAGGTGCTGCTACTGAGGCTAGACCAAGCTGAGTACAGAACCGCTGATGGTCACGAGATGCAAGTGCCTTGGTGAAGATATCAGCGGTGTTGGCCTCTGAGGCCAACTGTACTACACGGACCTGACCGCGCTGCTGCAACTCTCGCATATGGAAGTACCGCAGCTGGATGTGCTTCGCTCTGCCCTCAAGTCGTGCCTCCTGACACAAGAGGATCATGGCCCTGTTGTCAGCAAACAGGACCGGGGCAGACCTAGGCTGCTCACCTAAGTCAGTGAGGAAGAACGTCAGCCAGCGGAGCTCCTGAGCAGCCATGGCCCCAGCGTAGATCTCTGCCTCACAGCTGGACTGATCTACAGACGACGACCTAGTGGATCTCCACAAGACTGCACCAGCACCAAGACTAAAGCAGTAGCCCTGAGTCTACATGAGCGTCTCCAAGTCGTCTGCCCACGACGCGTCTGTGTGTCCAGTGAGCACCACTCGCTCCCGTCCTACTAGCACAAGCCCCAGTCATGATGTGCTCGCCAGATACCGCAGTACCCTCTTGGCAGCCGACCAGTGGACCGATCGGTGCCTGTCTGTCGCGACAAAGCGAGCCAGGAGACTGAGAGAGTACGCTAGATCTGGTCGAGTGCAGGTCATTAGGTACATGAGGCACCTCACCAGCTCTGCGTATGGACCACTAGCCTCGACCGGCTCAGCCGGAACAGGAGCAGAGAGCTTGTGATCCACAGGCAGGGGGGTGGGCTGTGCTGAGGAGAACTGAAACTAAACCTCTAGAGGATCTGCTGCACTATATGGGACTGGGAGAGTGTAATCGTGTGAGCGGCACGGTCACGAGAGATCTCCAAGCCCAGATAGTGCCTCAGCTCCCCCAAGTCTATACAAGTGTGTCTCCTAAGTAACTCGGCCTTCACTGAGGCCAGTGCGACTCTGTCGGGAGTAGCAAAGATAAGATCGTCTACGTACACTAGAATGTAGAACGGTGTCTGACCCGTGCAAACAAAGAGAGAGGGGTCAGCAGAGGAGGAAAGAACTGCAGCTCAGCAAGAGTGGTGCGAAGCATGTCGTGCCACTGACGGGGTGCCTGACGAAGGTCGTAGACAGGACGGCGCAGGCTCCACTGGGTCCCAGGTGGGAAGGACCCAGAGAAGCCTAGAGGGCGCCGGAGGTAGATCTGCTCGTGCAGACTACCATGCAAAAAGTCCACTCCCTCACGCTGACTGAAGCCTCTAGCCACATAACGTGCCTTGAACTTCGACGGCTCTCCAGGTGCGCACTTCACCATGTAGATCCACATGTCATCGACTACGTTCGCCCCAGGCGGGGGAACTACGTCGACGTAGGTGCCAGTGGATCTGTAGGATGGCATCTCAGTCTCCATGGCTTGTATCCATTGGGCTGCCCAGGGCCCCGACACCGCCTCAGCGTAAGAGCGCGGAACAGGGATGTCGAGAGCGTCTGGGTCGCCCTCTGGGGATACAAGCATGGAGCAGAGATGGGGAACAGCGGCAGCAAGGTAGGCCAACTCGTACTGCCTGTCCTCTAGTACGTCATTGCCAAGGGCAGGTGCACCCCCGACGGATGGAGGACGGACAGTACTAGAGACCAGAGTGGCAGCGTAGTCAAGGCGGTGGCTAGCAGCAAATTCAGCGACAGCAACGACCAGCGCGGAGACAGACTCAGGAGGAGCTCTGGGGTCAGTGACAAGCGACGCAAGCAGGCGCGACAGGACTGGACGGGCAGTGCAAACAACGTCAGAGAGAGGAGGGGAAGACGACGGTAGTGACGACGGGGGAGGCAACGGGAGGATTGCGACGGGAGGAGCACGCGAATGAAGGAGCATAGGGTGGACACTAGGACAGGGAGAGACAGGACGAGCACCAGAGAGGCGACGAACCTAGTGGGGAAGAACTGGGGACTGGAGACGAGGGGGGACGGGGGACAGGTCAGAGGACGGAGGGGAGCGCGAGGGGAAACGAGCCGGAGAGGAGTCCGGAGGAGGAAACAATGGGCCGAAAATAGGGTCACGCACCGGAGGGGGAACGGGTGGGCTAACAGGGGAACCTGGAGCAAGACCAAGGAGACGAAAGGCAGACCGCGGCGGCTCCTGCTGCGGCGACTGCACCTGCTGCTGCTGCTGCTGCCTGTCCGCTCCAGGACCTCTAGTGGCACCCCAACTGCCACCCGCACGCCGCGAAACAGCACCCCCAAGACTAGCACCCTCAGTCTCCCCACCTACAGAACCAGCACCCCTGGAGTCAGCACCCCCAGAACTCACACCCCCAGAACCAGCACCCCCAGAGCCCACTGCTCCCTGCCACTGCTGCTGCGGCCGTGGAGTCTGCTGTGGTGACGACTGCTGCTGCTGAGGCAAGGGAGCAGGCAGCTGAGGGGCCTAAGGGACCGAGGCTGGGGGAGGTGCCACAGGGACAACAGGCGCACCCCCAGCAGCTGGGCCCCCAGAGTAAGCCGACTCCCCCACAGGGGGAACCGAGGGGAACTGAGTGGTGTGGGAGACACCAGACTGGGCCGGGCGGGGCGGGAGGGGTGCGGCAAGGGGGGGCAGGGACAAGGAAGAGAGGAGGAGGAGGCACAGAAGCGCTGCGGTGCGGGAAGCGCCGGTAATAGGGGAGCGTCTTGTCGAAGGTGACGTCACCAGAGTGGTAAAAACGGTGGTGTGCGGGATGGTAGAACAGCCAGTCAGAGGTGTCAAGTGGGAACCCCAAGAAGGCACAAGGAAGAGTGTGGGCTGTGAGCTTGTCCGTGATAGTATCGCGGACGTGAGCAAGGCTGCCCCAGACGTGGAACGCAGACGCGTCACCAGGAGACCTGGTCCAGAGGAGGGTCGGCGAAACCTATGGTCGCTGGGAGCGCGGCCACAGGTTAAGCTGGTGAGTAGCATAGCGCACGGGGAACGGCCACAGAAAATGAGGTGCACCGGCGTGGACCATGGAGGTGCGAGCCACCTCCATGATTAGGCCGATGCGTCGCTCAGTAGCCCCATTCTACTGTGGGGATTCCGGCAGTGTGTACGTCTGGCGGATGCCCTCCGCACGATAGAACCGTCCTAGAGAGCCAGAGGCGAACTCGCCACCGCGGTCAAAGTGTAAGCGACCTACAGACAGGCAGTGGGTGGTGCGAACAGTGAGAAGCCACGGGTGGAGAACAGTCGGCATGTCGGCCTTCCGCTCCAACGGGAAAACTGTGGTGAACCGCGAGAATTCGTCAACGATGACTAGGAAGTAGCGCTCCTGACTGAGACCATGGACCGGGGCAGGGCCCCAGACGCCCATGTGCAGTGTCTATAGCGGTGCTGTGGTAGGAGGAAACGAGGAGAAGTGAGGGGCAGCGTGCTGCCGGCCCTCGACACAGGAGGTGCACAGTAGCGCTACCGACAGAGGCAAGGCGGGGAGCGACGTAGGGAGACCAGTGAATAGACTGTACTGGGACATGTGCCTAAGACGCGGGAGTGCAGGGTGACCTAAGCGGTGGTGCCACAGAAGGGTCGGGTGGGCTAGTGAGCGACAGGAGCAGGACGCGGCGACCTCGGCAGATGCAGCAGTGAGCGGGGACTCAGTGTGCAGGGTAAAGAGACCTGATACAGGGCCACGCTCAAAGGTAGCTAAGTGTCGACCGGTGACTGTGTCTGTGCAAGCAGCGTGTCTCTCGCGGCTAGGGAACGTAGTGGTGACGCCTCGGTCCTGGAGGTGACCGACCCCCACTAAGTTCCTAGCAAACGAGGGGATGTGCAGGCTTGTGAGGGAGCAGGAAGGGACAGCCGGACAGGGGAGAGTGGTGGTGCTACGTGCGACAGCTATGGCGGAGGAGTCTACTAGTGCGACGCGGACAGGCGTAGGAAGCGGGGTGAGAGCAGTACTGTCTCGAAAGGAGCACCGAGATGCTCCAGAGTCCAAGACAAAGGAGAGGGCCGACGAGGCGGGGCCCGGTGAAGAGTCTCGAACAGGTCCTACGCCTGACGCAGCAGGGAATCCTAGACTACACACAGCAGTAGCTCCAAGGCTACAAACAACTGGATAATGAAAGCTAGCAACACTAGAAGCATTAGAATACAGAGAATATAAGGCATGGTCAATCTGAATCATATCCATATCAAATATAGGAACTCTACGACGAAGCAAGACCGACCAGGGGGGAACCTGCACCTGAGGGCCGAAGTGACAACAGTAGAGGTTGTCCAGGCGGCGGAAGCAGCGAGCAGCGGTGTGCCCCACGCGCCCGCACACCTAGCCCGCCTGTGGGCCAGTCAGCAGCTGGAACGCGTTACCAAAACCACCAGCACTCTGACGCCCAGAAGATCCACGCGACCCCCAGGGCACCGACAACTCTGGGCCCCAACCCCCACGGCCTCCACCACGACTACCACCCCCAGGGCCCGCCGGCCCCCAAGACTGCTGCTGCTCCTGCTGCTGCTGCTGCTGCTGCTGCTGCTGCTGCTGCTGCTGCTGCTGCTGCTGCTGCTGCTGCTGTGTAGTCTCAACAGATGATGATATGATGATATGCCGGCAGCGCCTCAGCAGGATATGCAGGATATCGATTGATTTTGTGCATGTAGTGAAATGTAGTGCATTATCTAATGAAGAACCATAAAAAAGGCTCATACAAAAGTTTGGCTATGACTCTGATTGGTCAGATAAAAAATCCATGGCTACTCTGATTTTTCAGACCTTTTCTAGGAGGTGACTCTGACACCCATACCAAGGGAAGGCAGCGGACTCTGATGAATCAGACATGCC